GCCATCTTTACTCTTTGTTTCAAAAGAATTTTTGATGTGCCAGTTTCTTTCCACTCTTCCTCCTCGATATTAAACTGTCCCATTTCCCCTCTCTTTTCAAACCCCCTGAAATCCATATAATAATCATTTCCTACCTTAACACTTATTTGGCCCTAACAAACTTCCATAAAATTAGAATAAAATTCGAACTAACTCTAGTTTGAGGTCAGCTTTCTCACCCACAAATTGCAACTTCTTCACCCAAAAAAGACGAAGACAAAAGGACAGTGGAAAAAATAGCAATTCACCGCATGTAGATATAGCGATTTTTTTTTTTTGGATGGGTCATCAGTTTCCACTGTTGCCGTAGCTCAAAACAGTATCAAATTCAGATCTTCGTCGCTGGTTTTCTCCATGAAGGATTGCAGACGATTTCAACAATGATGTTGTTGATGTATCCGAAGGTGGATATTTTGATGAGTGGTTTGCTTGTGTTTTCCAGTGCCTTAGCACAGGTGACTGAAAAAAATTGTTCCCTCGTCTGCCGCCATTTGGGTGGGGTGGAAGAAGAAACGGGTTTTAAAAGGGAAAATGGTTCTGACCGGGTAATGGGTTATTTGAATGCGTATGAGTTTTGGGTTGTTTGAATGGGTATGACCAGGTAATGAGATTTGGGTTGGTATTTGCCACATTAAGTGAGGGGCCCTACTGTCACGTTGGAAATCTGTTAGGGTTAGGGACGATTTTGTATACTTTATTAACGGTAGGCATATATTTGGACTGAAAGTAAAAATAGGTATAAACGTGATTAATTTTCGTTAGTATAGGGACAAATTTGGCTTTTTTCCCTTTTTTTTGTTTAAAAAATATAAAAGTTTAGGATAATTTTTGAATTCTTTTACAAATCAAAGGCTAATATTTTGGGCAAAAACAACTCTTGAGCTGGTTTTAGATTTGGGTGTTGGAATTTGAGAATTTGCCAAAATATAGATATAAACTATAAATAAATAAGTATTTGCCAAAAGAAAATTGGAAAAAATTTGGCAAAATGTATGGCGAAACGGGGGTTATATAGCCGAAGTTTTGTAAAATTGTCTAGGCAGTGAATCTCGCATGTCAAAACTCAAAACTGTATACAACGAAGAGGCAGTAGACTTTTTATCTCAATGATAATTGAAGTTCTGGTGAAATATTTTTCATAATCCATAAATAAATTAAGAAAAGAAGAAATGGATAGGGTAACAACAGCTTTAGAAGAAGTGAAGTTGAAATAACAGTCGGGCATTACATGTGCATAAATTAAATTTGGTCACGGGTGCTTGCGGTGTACCCCACAACACAAAATTAAGAAGGAACCTTTGTGCCCGTGATTGGATCGTTTTGTTCATTGTACTTGAATCCGTTTTATTATTTATTGCATTGTCTAATTTCGGTTTTTTTTTGTGTATAAAAAAAAAGTTGTTACCATCCGTAGACATCAAAATTTTAACGGATCAAGTTAAATCCTAAATTCAAGATAAAATTTTAGGAGTCTATCAGGGTTGCTTGGAGGCTACTCTGCGGGAACACTATCTTGGTGGCTACTCTACCCTAACCCTAAGTCACTCATATAAAAAATATTACACATTCCCTTAACAAGGGCATCTAAAAAATGGAGATCATTTCGAAAATCCCATAAACTCACAGGATATTCACAAAGAAATCATCAAGAAGTGGCCGGATAATTCTTGATAAACAAATACTTCAAGAAGATCCACAACAGACTTCATGGATATCAAATAAATCCATGAAAGCCAGCATCATTCTACGCTTGAGAAATACACAGCTCCAGCCCTCGAATCAAGGAGATAATCAGGATAGAAGAATCAAGGGAAATTGTACCTGTATCATTTCATCAATAAAATTATGTTTCTTCATATTTATATTGTGATTGCAATTTATTTTTGTATCACAAATAATTTGCTCCAAATACCATCATATTGATTCTCAGAGTAGTAAACAAAACTCTCATTGCTTTTAGTTACTTTATTGCGGGATTTAGTTATTCTTTTACGATCTCATAAATAAAACAAGTACTCCCTCCGTTTATTTTTAATTGCCACATTTTGACTTTTTACGCCCCTTAAAAATAATAAATAAAGTGCATAATTTACCATAATACCCATATTAATTGATGCATATTTTATTGGATTTGAGAAAATGATTTGAAATGATTAATAAAAACAGTGGGTATAACAAGATTTTTTTTTCTTCTCTTGATATGCGTAAAGTGACAAGTAAAAATAAAAATCTATTTTTAGTATAATGCCAAATAAAAGTGAACGGAGGGAGTACTAAGTTATGAGTGAATTTATGTATAACTTTATGCACGGTAAACAATAGAATAATTAGGCCCGAAATAATTGAATTCTACATAATTATTCCCTGCATTACTTATACCTGCATAACTTTATGCACGGTAAATGGTAGAATAATTAGACTCGAAGTAATTGAACTCGACATCACTACTCCCTGCATAACTTTATGCACGATAAACAATAGAATAATTAGACCCGAAATAATTGAATTCTACATAACTACTCCCTACATTACTTATACCGGCGTAATTTTAACCAACAACTAACCATCCCTTAATTAGTTAACAACTTCGAATGAGGAAAAATTAAAAACAAGAGAAGAGTTATTTTTTTAAGACTCATTCAGGTTTTTAATCTTGGTTGGATTTGATCTTTTAATATGTTTCAAACTCAATAAAAAAGAGTAATAGAGTAAACACAATAATATGTTATGCTTTCTCTTTTGTTGGTTCACCTAGAAATAGGTTAGGCTTTCTATCCAAATCAATGAGAAGTTTCTATTTGGTTGAGCGTCCTCTTCGAAATTCAAATAAAGAAAATGAAAAGGTAGATAGTATATAATAACTAAGTGTGGCGATTGCTTACCATTTCACATTCACCCTTTAGATAAAGTTGAGAACAAGAAAGTCTTTTTTTAAAGTAAATTACCTTACCTAGTGTCACTTTATTTGCCCGTTAAGCTAGAATTTTAATACTTTCTTTTTTTCTTGGGTGCAATTAACACTTTTCTCTATGTTGGTTTAAGCACAAAGATTTAAATATCCTCTATCTTCTCCTTTTTAAATATCGTATGATGTTTTATTTTTTAACTGATTTTTAGTATAGTAATAATGTTGAAGTGTTCTAAATATAATTAGAATACATGAAAATAAAATTCTCCCAATAGGGTTGGATAGAGATAGATTTTGTACACATGTTTTTTGGGAAATAAATAACATAAAATTTCAAGAATTTGGTACAAAAATATCACCTTTTTGTATGAGAGTTTTGTTTAAATAGCTAATTCTTCAAGAGTTGTCTTCTTTTTATGTGAATTAATTCATTAGAAGGAAGTGGAAATTTAGAATAAAAATGTTATTTTATGGAAATAAAATCCATGTTTAAAGTAGGACATGAACTATTTCCTTTCACATTTCAAGCTATTATCGATTTAAGAAATTCACTAATCAAACAATCGTTCCACTATGCTTCAATCTTTTTAAAATCATACGACCAAGAGTTAAAATTAACATAATTCATTATTCTGGAAAAAAAGAAACAAGACTTGAGCATCAATTAATTGTAGTTGCCTATATTAATTCATAATATCATTTCTGTATGTTTAATCAACTTTTGCTAAAAAAATTTTATTAAGAAACTAATCGACTTAATTAATTCAAAAGCTCTAGGGTAACCTAAAATATTTTGAAAAAATTACTATACCTTTTTTTTTTTCCAAAAAACTTTTAACCATATTTATGTTGACAAGACTAGGGACCAAAGTTGACAAAAAACGTGGAGAACTTCAGCCTTTCGTTTCTAAATATGACTTTATTACAAAATCCAAAACACCAACCAATAAAGCGATAAACAACAACTTAAAACAAAACGCCATTGTAGCAAACCAACATTACTGTCTCATTTTATATTTTTACAACCTTAAGAAATTTAACTTCATTAAATCATAATCTCTTCCCCTTATTAATTCATTCATAAAAAATATTAGAGCTTGTTTTTATATTTAAATTCAATTTAACTTTAAACTTCTCTTTTATAATTAATTGCATACTTTTATAGCTATAAAAATCTCATTACATATTTAAGATTTTTTTACTTTCTTTCTCAAACTCATACCTAATCAAACTGTACCACATAAATTAAAATAGAAAGAGAATAATGATTAAACTTTGATATGATGTATTTTTTGTGAAACTTGCATTTCAATCTTATCTTAATAAGTTATACAGTTTAAGTTCAATGCGGTGACTGCGTAAAACATAAGTAGATCATTTATAAGTAAATATAATCAATAAGATGATATAAATGGTAAGTAATCTAATAACACATGTTACATTAAACTAGTCTAAATAATTTTTACCCTATACATACATGCTTATAACTTGAATCCTTATTATGGTAAATTTTATCACATAAATTAAATTACTAGTAGTAACATATTAACAACAACAACGACCCAATGTAGTCCCAAAAGTAGGGTCTGGAGGGTAGTGTGTACGCAAACCTTACCTTTATCCCGATGGGGTAGAGATGCTGTTTCCAAAAGACCCTCGACTCAAGAAGATAAAAAGATAAAAAGAGACAATATATCACTACTATCATGGAAATAATAACAACAACACAAGAACCGGCGAATAGATGAAAGACAGAAATAATGACCATTAAATAAGACCCGACACTATGAAACCGGAAGAGTAATGTAAACATAGCACTGACCACTACCAAGACTAAATTCTATCGGCCTAGCTTCACACCGGTAGACTAAATATGCTCAACTAGCTCCTAACCCACAATCTTAATGCTCGACGTCCGCAATTTACTATTGACGTCCACAACCTTAACGCTCGACCGCCACACCTTGCTATCAAGTGCAATGTTAACAATGTTGAATTAAGTAGTAGGAGAAAAGAAGTGGACTACATATATTACCACTCTATTTGAGTCTTACCAAAAAGGAAGTTTCTCACTTTCTCTCTCTTTTTCTCCTCCAACACACTCATAGGAAAAAAAAAGGGAAAGAGAAAGAAGAAGAAGCTATGGACTTTCTCTCACTACACACTCACAACACAAATGGAGATTAGCAAAACTGAACCAAACCCACATTACTATTATTATTTTCAATGGGCAAAGTAGAGGATGAACATCAATTACCAATATCAACAGTAGGTGCAAATGGTACAGATCAAAATGTAGAGAATAATAGTTGCCGCAGCAGATTCAGTGGGTTTCTGAAGTTTAGATGTGTATTTGCTTTGCTGTTTGGTGGAGCTGTTTTGCTTTCTGCTATATTTTTGTTGCCTTTTTTTCACAGTGGAGATCTTGGGGATCTAGATCTAGACCCCAAATTTAGAGGTACTTAATTTTCTTGATTTTGAGTTTTTTTTAATGTTAACATTGTCTTCTTTAGTAAAGTTTGATTTTCGTTGTGTTAGAATTGGTAAGTAAGAGTTCCTAATTTTGTTTTGCTTTTGAGATCTTAATTACCCTTTTCTTGATGTTGGGTTTTCTTTAATGTCAACATTGTTTTTTATAGTAAGGTTTGAATTTTTTTGTGTTAGAATTGGTAATTATAGAGTTCCTAATTTGGTGTTATTTTGATTTTTTTTTCCTTTTTTAAATGAGCTGGTGTTTTTTATTTTTGGGTTTCTTCTAATCTTGTGAAATGAAGTGAATTTTTCAATTTTAATGTTGTTATTACCATGTCAAATTTGGCAAAAAACTTTGCCGTTTACCGGTAACCCTGTTCTTCATTTTGTTGTGTTAGAATTGGTAATTATGAGTTCCTAATTTGTTTCTTTTGAGATCCTAATTACCCTTTTTGTGAGGGGTTGTTTATCTTATGGTGTAATCTGATTTTAACTCTTTTTTCCTTTTTTCTTAAATGAACTGATGCTTTTGATTTTGGGCTTCTTCTAATTTTATATTATGGTAAATTTCCAATTTTGAAGTAGTGGATAATGCTGATATATGTTTGTCATTTTTCTTTATCTGGTGATTTTTTTTTTTTTTTTTTTTTTTTTTTTTTGACTGAGAACAAGGCTGTGTTATGACATAGGCTGTTGACTGATTGGTCTGGTATGAAAGCTTATGTTAGAATTCTTTTTAGGTAATCTCCTAATTTAGTAAGTTGTAAATAATTTTCATCAAATCTTTTAAAGCAAGTATGCACATTTCTGTCTCAGTGGGAGGAGAGTAATAACCTTTAATTGAAACTAGAAATAAAAATAATTGTTTAATAATTTTTTAATTGTAGGATTGTATATTGTTACTTAAGATGATCAACCTCTTTGTCACTGTTTCAGTTCTTCACAAAAATTTCCCCTTCTTTTGTCTTTTTTCTCTTTGTTTTTCTTTTTGGTGGTTTTCATTACAGTCCTTGTTACATTCAGTCATACTTTATTTCTTTAGAAAGTTTATTAAGAAATTCAATTGCCAACAAGTTGCTTGACATGTGACCCTTGTGAAGTTGAGCATATAAGAGGTTTTTGTTACCTAATAGCAATATCCTTGTAGTATGAGCCCATACCATTATAACCCTAGTGTTGTTCACTTGCAAGGAAAACTCCAATTTGGTCAAGCGAGATTTACTTTCTTTATGTTTTAGCGCCAATGGTAAAAGTTGCCGCCATGTGACCATGAGGTCACATGTTCAAGTCGCAGAAACAGCCTCTTGCAGAAATGCAAGGTAAGGCTACGTGCATAGACCAATGTGGTTCGTACCTTCCTGAGATTCCGCACATAGTGAGAGCTTAGTGTACTAGGCTATCTTTTTATGTTCTTAAACATTTTTCAACGTTAACGTTCCCATCCTAAATGCACGAGTTCAAGAAACAACCCCATAATTGAGGACTTTAATGATGGCCGAGCAATTAAAGATACCTTGTTTTCTTTTGCTTTAGGACCTTTCATTCTATCATATAAAGATAATTGTCCAACTGGATTTAAAAGGGTGCTCCTTTTTACATATTCTTATGCACTAGCATGTGACAGCTGATTATAAGTTTGTAAAGTACCGGGACCATTAGATCCAGAAGCCTAAACATGCAATGTCTGGAGAGTTTGATAACTGACACTTAGCCAAGTTAGTGAATGTGTTTTCTGTCCTTGTTAGTAGAGGAGTTTCTGGTGGTCTATTTAGTTCATTAAATAGCGTCCTAACGCCTCACCTCTTCTGTTCAGCTGAGTTGTCTAATTGATGTCATCACATAATATGGAGTTGATCATTAGTTTTTATCTTCATTTCATCTGTCAGTGGCTCAACTAGCAATCCACCCTTTAACAATATTTGTAATAAACAAACCTTACTATGAATTATCAAAGAAAAAATGCATATTAGTCCCTATTTGAATATACCGAGACACTAAAGGAGTATCTAATTGGTCTCTGCTGCAGATTTGAGTCAAATTCTTGTCAATTACTTACCATTGACTTCTTTTCTATGAGTATTAGTTTTATCAACACAAGCAACTTGTGCTAGTGTAATTGAGTTGCGATTGATAGATTTAGTTGTAGGCATAGAGAGTAGAATATTCGTTGGGTGTGACCCAGAAGCAAGAGGTTCCAAATGTTAGTGGGTGATATCCACGGGGATATAACATTCACTGCAAACTTTACTTTGAGAACTCTTCATTTTTTCTGTTATAGTAATTTCAATATCTAATAATAAAATAAAAAAAAAATATAATAATATATTTAAAAAATTATTGCAGCTGATTATTGCACATTGGATATACTTTCACCTATTGATTTGTCTCTACGTTTGTGTTTGGGGCTTTATAGGTCATGACATAGTAGCCAGTTTCATGCTTGAGAAGCCAGCTTCTTTGATGGAGGATTATACCTTGCAACTTGAAGATGATATTTTTGATGAAATAAGTGTTTCCAACACTAAAGTATGTCAATTGCGGTTTCTCTTCTTTTTTCCTTTCCTCTCTCAGATTTAACTGCTTTTGCTACTTGTTCCTTTTCTTACTGATTATGCTTTTATAACAGGTGGAAATAATATCATTAGAAAATATAACTGGATCAAACATAACAAGGGTTGTCTTCGCTGTTGATTCTGATGTGAAAAATATGAGGATTTCTCCAACTGCTCTGAGTCTAGTCAGATCCGAATTTGAAACTGTAATTACTCACCCATCATTTCTGCACCTGACGGCATCTTTGTTCGGGGATCCTTTTTCTTTCGATGTGCTGAAACTCAGAGGAGGGATAACAGTGATCCCTAAACAAATTGGATTCCTCATGCAGAATGTGCAGATCCGATTCAACTTCACATTGAACTCCTCCATCGATGAAATTCAAGATAAATTTGATGAATTAACAAGCCAGCTGAAATCAGGGGTACACCTTGCATCATACGAGGTGCGCAAATATGACTGCTGTTACCTGCATTGACTTTTATATCCTTTGCTTTCCTCTGATGTTGGTCATTGATGCAATTCATGATAATGTCATTAAGCAAGTCTTTATGACTTTCTATTCTATTTACAATTGTTATTTATTGTTCCTGCCACATAACGCCTACCGCTCTTCTTGTCTGTTTACTCGTATAGTTGACTAAGTGTAGTAATAGCTTTCTGTCTTTTTTGTCTTCAATGAAATTAAATAAATGGAAAATGATAAATAGTAGCTCCAGGGTATTGGAAATGGTTTGAATTTGATGTTCTAGGATTTGACCTGCTTCTGCAAATTACAATTTTGTAACAAGATTGTCATCAATAAAAACTGCTAGGGTAGTGATAACCAGCACTATGGTTCAGTGATTCCATTTTTTTGCAGTTCTGTTTTGAGGTGTAAAAGGTTGGCAGTGTTTGCCCTCGGAATCTGCTGCTTTACAGGAATAACTTATTTAGCACACAAGCTTACATGCACTCACACGTTGCACATATGTGTAGATATATTTATTCTCGTATTTACATACCGTAATATTGAAAATACTTGTGAAAGCATTGGTTCCTTTGTCATGGTAGAGGATTTCATGGTTTCTAATTGTGCTGGCTGCTGGCTTCTTGCATAGTATGTGTGTTTCTATTTGTTATTTAAAAGCATTTATGTTTACTGTTTGCATGTTGGTTGATATTTCTCACTTCTCTTTTGGATGCAGAACTTGTATATCAAGTTGACTAATACAAGAGGCTCGACGGTGAATCCTCCCACTATTGTTCAGTGTCAAGTTCTTTTAGCAGTTGGGATAAATCCTTCCAATTCTAGGTTGAAGCAGTTGGCTCAGACCATTGGTTCTAATTCTAAAAACCTTGGCCTTAATAACACCGTATTTGGGAGGGTTAAACAAGTTAGCCTGTCTTCTATTTTACAACATTCTCTTGGTAGTCCTTCACCTTCTCCGGCTCCTCAACCTTATCACCCCCATCAACACCATCACCACCACAGTCGCCACCACCACCGCCAAGGCTCGAATGTTGCTCCCGCAATTTCACCTGCTCCGAGGGCTGAGAAAAGGGGATCAGTTAGCGGGAAAGTTTCACCAATATTGGCACCTGTGCCATCGTCTGCACCAGTGGTTGCACCTGCCCCTATACATTCAACTCACAAAGGTCATGTGGCGAAACCTCCTTGTCATTTCGAGAGATTCCCGAGGAAGGCGACTAGTCATCCTCCCGTACTACCGCCTATTAGACCACCAGTCCCTGCACCTCATATTGCTCCCTCTCCACCACAGAAAATGCATGCTCCAACACCAGTCCCGCATGAAATCTCTGCGTCGAGCCCATTGCCCTCTGTTGTGTACGCTCACACTCAGCCTCCTCCAATGACACCTTCAGTTGCAGAGCCTCCTCACAGAATACCTTCAGGTTCAAAATCCCCATCTTCATGTAAGTAGCAAGAACATTTTCTGTTTGTTTTGTACAGAAAAGCTAATAAGCTCTCGAGGCATGTTAAGAAATCATTCATCAGTCTTCAATATTCTTTACCTTTCATTCAACCGAGGAGAGGGACACGGATTAAAGCAAGTGGAACTCTTCTATTCTAGTTGTATTTTCATTCAGTCCTGAAGATTTTTCCTATTTGCTAATCACCTGCTCTGCTCCCTCTTGCTACCAGAATTATACTTATCACTCAATTGTTCTAATATGTTTTTACTCTTCATAATCTGGTGTACTCCATGTGTGCAGCTTCTACAGGGAGTTTTTCGTCAAACTTGTGGGCTCTCTCGCTGTTTCTACTTCTTGTACCACGTTTATAGAAGCAGAATGAAGGTTTTTTTCCTCTGGTGACGCTAAAATCTGCTGCCAGTATGAAAATGAGTTCCACGTATCATTTCATCTAGGCCGAAGAAAACTAAATGGAGGAGCTTTGCGAAGTGGGAACAATGCCAAAAGGGCATCCCTCACACGCAAATGAATATATGTGGTTGTTTTGTGCTTGTAAATACTGTATCAAAGATTCAGTACCGCGATGCATTTTCAGGTCAAAGTCACAGAGGTGACAGGCCTGTGATGACATGCATTACCACTGTTATGTATGATACCTCTTGCATAAATGTAAAGAGGTTAAAAAAAAGAGCAACCAACAAATGTATAACAATGCCTTTTTGTTTCTAATATCTTCTGAGCCCGCTAAATACTCCGAAGTTTAGCATGTTTGGGGGAGAGTAGTACTAGGATGGATGACCTTCTTGGAAGTCCTCGTGTTGCATCCCCCTTTGGTTTTAAAAAAAAAAAAAAAAAGGAAATAAGAAACTTCCGAGCCCGTCAGGTACGATTCCTAGTTATGAACAAAACTTTATTTATCCTTTCATTCGCTTACTGTATTTTTACTTGTTCCTGCAACAAAAATATGGTTTATGTCGTTATCTTCAACATTATAGGAGCTGATGTAAAATTGGATGTTGCAGACCTCAAATATTAAATAAAACTGTATCCTTTTTAGTAGCTTAGATTTTTAGTAGTGGTGTAAGGTGTGTATATATGTAAATACACACATATATACACACTTTATACCAGAGTAGATAAAGTGTTTGAGTCGGAGTTTCATCGCGTTAACAAAAATATTATAATACATCGCGTTAACAAAAATACGCTCATCTTCAGTTCAAATATGATTTTATTTATTTTTAGTTCTGTAGACTGTAATACATTTGGTGATTCACGCTCATTGACAATGAAGGGGAATTAGAGCTTGTCTTTGGCATATGAAAAACAAAAATGGATTGTTTTGGGATATTTGATTAAGTGACAAGAAAAGAGAAAAAGCTAGTGTGGTAGGAGTTTAGTTTCTTCTTCCCCCTAGCCTTCTCATTATGTCACCCAAGTATCCCATTGAAATTATTTGAAGAAATAATTCTTATTCTTTTTATCTTCAACAGTGACAGATGAAATATAATGACTGTTAGTTTGGCTTCAAATTGGTGAAATTGTCACTCATACTTTTTAGTACTTTGGCCATTTTTCTTTCAATGTCTAGATTTGGTGTATCAATATTTTGGCTGGTGGGGGACAAGCTTTGGCTAGGATTATGATAACTCAGGTGGGTACTCTGTGATTTAGATATCTTATCCAATTTTGAATAGTCTCTCGCAAAAGTGCAAAAGTGCAAAGTAAAGTTACGTACAATAGATAGATTTGATGTGCTCCAACTTTCTTGTATTATGTTGCGTATATAGCTGAAGGTTAATACACCAAGCTGTTTGTTTTTCAATTTTCTTACTAATACAAGTTTTGGAACCTAAGTCAAGATTCAGGTTCTTGTTATGAATAATTAGGATGTAAGATAGGAAATCAAAATGCTGAGTTAGGAGTGAAGAAAGCCACATCAAATGAGTACGTACTTTATTTTAAACCAACTTGTAATTGTTTTCCATTTGACAATTTCAAATACTTTTGGATTATTAAGAGGAGTTAGAATAAGACAGAATCATATGTGTGGGTCCTTTCTGGTGGGTACATACTGGCTGAAAAATAGTTGCACGAAGTGTCTAGGAATTATCAAGAATATTTATTTTTAATCCTTTTATAGTGAATTTGATCAAACAAAATTTTTTTAAGCTTTAAAAATTAAAGAACTATGGTTTTCAAGTATAAAAAGGGGATATTTTTCTAAGACCATAAAAAATGGGGACATTCCGCCAAGATCAACCTCTTTGGGTGTCACGTCGTACTAATTTTTGATTTGAGCATATGCATCAAATACGGTGTAACGACCTGGTCGGTCGTTTTGAAAGTTGTAGTCCCATTCCCCCATTTATTGCTCATTTTATACTTTATAGCTGCTATGTGACTTGCCGGGGTAGTTGGTTCGGGTCCGGTGAGGCTTCAGAATGAATTGAGATACTTAGTCTCAAGGTTGAAAGCTTAAGTTGAAAAGGTTGATCGGATGTTGACTTATGTGTAGACGACTATGGAATGGAGTTTTGATGGTTCTGTTAGCTCCGTTGGGTGATTTTTGACTTAGGAGTGTATCCGAATTGTGAATTGGAGGTCCGTAGTTTAATTAAGCTTGAAATGTCGAAAGTTGAAAATTTAAAAGTTTGACAGAGAGTGGACTTTGTGGATACCGGGCTCAGATTGGGGTTTCGGAAGTTGGAGTAGGTTCATGGTGTCACTTGTGACTTGTGTGCAAAATTTGAGTTCAATTGCACGTGATTTAATAGGTTTCGACATCATTTGTAGAAGTTGAAATTCCTTAGTTTCAATATGCTTGAATTGGTGTACGATTCGTGATTTTAGCGTTGTTTGATGTGATTTGAAGGTTCGACTAAGTTTGTATGGTGTTTAAGGACTTATTGGTATATTTGGTTGAGGTCCCGGGGGCCTCGGGTGGAATTCAGATGATTTTTGTATCAATTTTAGAGTTAAAAAGGGTGCTGTAGCTGAAGCCTTCTGGTGTAATTGCACCTGCAGAGCTTTGGTCGCAGGTGCGAGCTCGAAAGTGCGGGTAGGGAAGCGCAGAAGCGACCTAGGACGGAGGTGTGCAATGGTCGCAGGTGCGAGGCAATTTCCGCACCTGCGTGGTCGCAGATGCGGCGTCATGTCCGCAGAAGTGGAGGATTTTTCACAAAAGCGGAACCGCAGGTGCGGTTAAGTTTTCGTAGGAGCGAAAAGGTTGGACATAGCTTTAAATTTGAGGGTTCCGCAATTTTCTTCATTTTGAACATTCCAAGCTCGGGATTTGACGATTTTTGAGAGGATTTTCGAGGGGTTTCTTGAGGTAAGTCACTTGTGGTTAAATTTATTTAGTAATTATGTTTTCCCATTGAATTTTCCACCTAGATTGTGTGGTTTTGAGATATAATTTTGGGAGTTGAGGCTAGGGATTTGGAGAGTTTAGATTGGGGATTTGGGTGTTGATTTGGTATTGTATTTTGGTAAATTTGGTATGGTTAGACTCGTGACGAAATGTGCTTCTAGATTTTTTGACTTTTATTGGATTCCAAGACGTGGGCCCGGGGGCCGACTTTTGAGTCGACTTTTTGACTTTTGATTGATAACTTAGTATTTTCTTATGGATTGATTGCTTTAGCTCGTGTTGATTGTATCGAACTGTTTGTGGCTAGATTCGAGGCATTAGGAGGCCGATTCGCGAGGCAAGGGCGTGTTGGAGTAGGGATTTGCATAGTTTGAGGTAAGTAACAGTTGTAAACTTGGTTCTGAGGGTATGAAACCCCAAATTTTGTGTTATGTGATTGGTGTTGAGGTGATGCACATGCTAGGTGACGGGCGTGTGGCCGTGCACCAGTGTAATTGTGACTTGGTCAAATTCCATGGAACTGTACAGTTGAATAATCCGTTGTTATCCGTATATTCTCCATGTGTTATAGAAATTGGACTTCAATCATGATAGAAATCATGCTTAGGCTAGGTGCTGATACTATAGGGATCCACAGAGGTCGTGTTACATGTTGAATTATCTGCTAAATTGCCATTTTGTAATCAATCACTTTTTTTTTACTTGCATATTATATCTCAATCTCTATTGTTCTTTATTGATACATTATATCATCGCTGTTTGGGCTGATTATGATTATTGACAGCTCGTGAGACTGGAGAGATTGATGACTGAGTGAGGTCGAGGGCCTGATTGTGCGGATATTTATCAGGTTCGGGCTGTATGCTCAGCATGTTTTTTATTAATGCCACGATTAGCGTATTATAACGCTTGGGCAGAAGGATCCCCTCCGGAGTTTGCACACCCACAGGGAACGCATGTACCTACTGAGTGCGAATGCCGAGCGACTGGGAGAAATGAGTGGCTGCTACTCTGAGATTCTGCACTTGATTCATTATTGTTGTATTTCACCTGGCATCTATCACTATCATTTAGTCACTGAGAGATACTATATCCTGTTTCAATTGAATTTGACACGAATTAACTGTTTTGACCTTAAATTTCGAACATGAAAACATGCCTATTTCCCTGTATTATATTTTTCTGTAATTGAACTGTATCAGTGAAACTCATCATTACTTTCAGTCCAATAGTTAGTCTTGTTATTTACTGAGTTGGTTGTTCTCGCGCTACACCCTGCACCTCGTGTGCAGATCCAGGTGTTTCCGGACATGGCGGGTGTTGATTTTCTGAGCGGTTCGATTATTCAAAGATTGCAAGGTAGCTTCCCAGCGTTTGCAGACCTTGACTCTCCTTCCCTATCTTTCCGCTTTATGTATTTAGTTTCAGTTTTTCATAGATAGTAATTTTAGACTTGTGTTTTATAGACGCTCATATACTCAGTGACACCCTAGTTTTGGGAACTCCCATATTGAGTTTTGACTTTCTATGCAGTTTATGAGAACTTTAATTATTTAAACCTCTGTTATCTTATTCTACCTTTAAAAGTGTTGGAAAGGTTTTGAGACGCCGGCTCGCCTAGTACCACGTTAGGCGTCATCACGACAGGCTAAGTTTTGGGTCATGAAAAGTTGATATCAGATCCTAGGTTACATAGGTCTCACGATCATGAGCATGTTTAATAGAGTCTTGCGAATCGGTACGGAGACGTCTGTACTTATCTTCGAGAGGATGCCGAACCCTTAGGAAACTTCACATTCTTGTATTCTTGTCGTGCGGATTTGTTGATTCCAGAAACTAAACTTCTGTTGTTCTATTCTCTAATAGATGGTGAGGACACGTGCTACCGAAGAGGATGGACATCCACCTACCACCAACTAGGGCCACGAGAGGCCGAGAAATGCTCCAGCTCCATCATCCACCATCCACCATGCAGAGCAGCACCTGCAGATCCACCAGTTGCTCCAGCTCAAGAGCAGATTCTAGATGTGGTAGAGCTAGTGGGGCCAGCTCAGGCACCAATTGTGCCCATTTTGATTACATGCCTTTAGGAGGCTTTAGCTCAGATTTTGACTGTTTGCACTAGCCTTGCTCAAACAGTTTCTGTTCAGACCATGCCATCCACTTCTCAGGCAGGGAGAAGTACTCAGACTCCCGCCGCCCGTACTCCAGAGCAGGTGATGCAGGGACTTCAGATGCTGCGGGTATTGCTAGCTAGCCGGTTGTAGCTGCTCAGGCCCAGGTGGGTCCTGTTATAAGTGAGGATGAGCAGAAGAGACTTGACAAATTTGGGAGAATCCAACCTCCATCATTCAGTGGGGCTAAGTCTGAGGATGCCCAGGACTTATTGGATAGGTGCCAACGGATTCTTCGTACGACGAGTATTCTGGAGACCAGTAGGGTCTCATTCACTACTTTCTAGTTCAATAGGGCTGCCTTCAAATGGTGGGAGGCCTATGAGAGAAGCAGGGCAGTCGGTTCTGCACCACTTTCATGGCATGAGTT